TTTATGTTTATTTTTAGTTCTGTGGTTCAAGTGCAGGATGTGCAGGTTTGTTATATACGTAATTGTGTGCCATAGGGGTTCGCTGCACCTATCAACCTGTCACCTAGGTATTAAGCCCAGCAATCATTAGCTATTTTCACTAATACTCTTTAAGTAAGAATTTCTAATCCTTCTATGTACTCTGCTGAAATTGCCAAAGCTAGGAACCAAATCAGGTCTTCGAAAACTGAGGTCAGAACTCCAGTTCTGGTGCTATGATCTCTCATCCTCAAAGCCAGAAGACATCCGACTACCCCACTGTTGGGTGCCAGCTACTTCCCAGAGGGGCAGGCTTGTGAAGACTATGAAGAATCCCCACTGTGAGCCAGCTAGAACTGCAATGTGGGAGCTGAAAACCTGCCCATATTGAAAACCATATCATTTACGTGGCAATGAATGAAGGCACCAGTCCAGGCACAAATCCATCAACTGGGAAGTATAATTCTCATACACTACAAATGTAATTCTTGTGTGTGTGTGTGTGTGTGTGTGTGTGTGTGCGTGGTTTTTTGTTTGTTTTTGTTTTGCAAAGCAAGGTAGCATTGGAACTAAGAGCACAGACTCTGGAGTAAGAATCTCTGAGCTTAAATCCTGGCTGCATGCTTGAGTGATCCCAGGGAAGTCACTTAATGTGCCTGAGCTTCCTTTATTTTACCTGTAAAATGTGGAAAATGATGCTGCTTCCACCCCACAGCTGTTTTAAGTATTCAGAGATACTTAAGACACCTGATCTGGAAAAACTGTCAAAAGATGAGTTCAGAACTCTCAGTGTTAACCACAGCAGCACAGCTTCAATTGGACCCAATCTGAAGGTCGCCATAACTTGGAAAACCACTCAAACTCCTTTCATGCAATTTTATAGCAGATCTGAAGCTGTGTAGCTGCACCAGGCCAGGCGATAAGTGAGAAGAGGAAGCTCTGTCTGTGTTTATAGCCTTTGACAAATGGGCTATGGTCTCCTCCTGACAGATTCTCCCCTGACTGGTCCATCAGCCTCTCCTCACATCACCTGAATCTCAGTCTTCATAATAGTATTGAAATTCAGATGGATTTTACACCACAAATAAAAATGAATTTAAATGCCTCAGTGCCCCGGCAGAAACACGAGTACTGTAAATGTCAAATTCATGAGGTTTAGTGAGGCCATACAGCCGCTCCGAGTGATAGGTTACCTCCTGTCACCTTTGCTAAATCTACATTGGCTCCGTGACGTTCACCTGCAGGAGGAAAAAAACAAACAAAAAACCCCAAAACCCCTGTGCTCCTGCTTCCATTTAAGGGTAAAAAGCTCCACCAGCCCTTAAGATCTCCCCAGAACACCCTCTGCGATAGTTTAAGAAATGGCCAGGAACCTGTCCAAGCAGAGGTACATTCATAGGGCTCTGCTAATAGGCAGGCTTGGAAGCAAAAGAAAAACTTAAAACCACACTCCAATACACATTATGAATTTCCCCACGAACAGCCAGGCAAAGTTTTCCAAATGACAATTAGTTTTCTGTCAGCCTGAGAGAAAAAAAGCTTCCGGGGAAAACAAAACAAAACAGAAAAATAGGAGAGGGGAAATTTCTTTCATCCTACAAAGAGTCTGAGATCGAGCCCAGACTGTGTGCAGACGAAGAAGAACCATGTTATTGCTCTTCATTAAGATGAGGGCTCTCTTCAACTCTTGAAATTCACCATTTATATTCTATTATGATATCTGGTCTAAGATTCAGTGGGAAAATCACTCCTCTCAAGGTAAATGGCCCCACTGATTGGAAGAGAATGGGAATGAGGGACAAATTGGAGAGGCCCTGTGGGACTCTACGGAAAACCTAAGATTCTGCCTTTTCTAAAACCCTTCTATCAAGAAGATATTCAACAACATACATAGGTGTAGATGGAGGTACACAAATATATCCATGTACATGGGATATTGGAATTGAAGTAAACAGAAAGCCAGGAGAGGTGAAAAATTAAAAAAAATAGTAAAAAATAAAGTTATTCTTGGAAAGCCATAGCCTCCTATAGGGGTTCTGTGAAATTTTCTTTAAAAAAGGAGCTCTAAAGAAAGCACTGCTGGTTCTCATTCAGAGCTCTCAACGATCACAGAAATCCACATGGGCCAAGGGGCTGCCATTTCAGAGACAGGTTTACTTATGATTTTGGCACCTCTGCCATCTCTTGTCACTTCAATTTCACTTTATCAAATTACTGATTTTGCCAGAAGCATTCGGATTAGACGGAGAGGGGCACGCACACAAGTACAGGCTAAGTGTCATCACCCCAGTGGTGAAATTTCATAACTACACATCAGCATGGCAGAGGCACCAGAGGGCACTCCCAGAACCCGATGGCGATCACTCCAGCTGCTGTGGCCACCGCCGTGTCCCTGTGTGGCCTGACACCATATCACTGTGCAGACGGGGAGAGGATGGAGCTCTTCTGCTGGAGGAGAGGGGCATGCTGCCCCTCTGGGATGATTAGAGTTTGCTTCTTGACTTTTCCATTAAGGGAAATGTCCCCAAGATACAAGGCTACCTCCTAAAACCTTACCCACAACCTCTTTTTAACAATGGTTAGAAACAGAGAAACTACAACCTGAGTAAAACATTCATAATATTACAGGGAATTTGAAGGAAGGAAGGAGGTAAGAAGGAAGGAGATAAAGGGGGAAGAAAAGGAGGAGGGAAATAGGGAAGGAAGAAAAGAGGGACGGAGTGAGGAAGTGAGGGAGACAGGGAGAGTGGGAGGAGAGGTAAGGAGAAGGAAGGGGGAAATGGGATGAGGGAGGGGGGAAAGGGGAAGGCGGAAAGGGGGAAGAGGGGAAGGAAGGAGGGAGGGAAGTTCCTTTGTTCAATGGAAAGAATAAAATGTCCTTAGAGAGTAAGACAGTGCAAATTTTAACTGGGCATTATTTTTTCTTATCACCAATGAACTGCAACAAACTGGAAACTTATCTATCAGTCATATGAGGTCAAATTTAAAAAACAATTGGAGAACTCATCAGAAACAAGGCTTCATTTGATATTTATGGCTCAATCTAACTATTTATTAAAAAAAAAAAAAACAACTACAAATGTGCCTATTTTCCCCTTTCTTGAAAAGAGCAGAAATCGCACATGCGCAATAGGACCATTAATGACTTTTTCTCACCAAAATGCATCACAAAGTAGCCGCAGACCTGGGCAGTTATCATCCTGATGTCTTAACCAAAGGCAAATCGTGTAGGTGGAGCACAGCTTGGGTGGCTCTCCTTGCCCAGAGCTTTCCCTGGCTGCTTATTTATCTTGTTTCTGATGGAGCTCAGATTATTCTAACAGCATCAGTTCCTATGGGATCTTTCAAGCACTATTAGCAATTAAATATTTTATAGACACCGGACAGAAACATGTGTATGAATTCCATACAAGTCCAAGGGAAGCACAAAAACGTGCTTTGGAAGCAGGTTGTGGAACATGCTTTCTGAACACTGTGACACGACCACAATGACTGGGCTGGGTAGAACATTGGTGAAAGACTTTGAACACACGCTTCACCTAAGCAGCAATTTCATCTGTCCAACTCACAAAATACCCACATGCACGCAAGCACACTGTGAATGAAAACATGACATTCCTTTGCCTGCAAATGAGCCACACATGACTGTAAGCTGGGATCATGCAGTTTAAATTGAAACTACTGTATCATTATTCTTCTCAAAGTGAGGAGATTAACACTCCCAAAAATAATATGTGGCAACTGCTTTTTATTTAAAAGCAAATTTTTGTTTTGAGAAGTCCTCCACCACCTTATTAATCAGCAGACATGCCCAAGCCATCGTAAAATCAGAGCTGAAACCTCTGCTTGAAATAATAACCCATTTGACAATAATGGTACACTGGAAAAGAGAAACATCTTTCAAACTTGTGGAATGATGTCAAAAGTGGCCAGGAGGTATGTACTCTCAATTCGCTTATTTGACTTCTTTGGATCCAAGGTGTAGAGGGTAAAATTTGATCTCCTTGGATGTGCTTTGCTGCAGAAATGTCTGTGAACCCTTGTCAATAAAAAGAGACTGTGGAAATATTAAGGAACAATTGTCTAACAGTTGCTTTTCCTGAGGGGATCAACACTAAGTGTAGCAAAGAAGATAAATTGGTGAGGGGACTCTGCCTATGTAGAAAATAACCTTGTCCCCTTCCCCTTAATCTCAAATAGGAAGCTGTTGCTCATATGAATGTGTCATGATGGAAACTGAGAGTGAGCTCTTTTTTTTTTTTTAAACAGAATCTCGTTCTGTCACCCAGCGTGTAGTGCAGTGGCACAATCTCAGCTCACTGGAATCTCCACCTCCAAGGTTCAAATGAGTCTCCTGCCTCAGCCTCCTGAGAGCTGGGGCTACAGGCGCACACCACCACTCCTGGCTAATTTTTTATTTTTACTAGAGATGGTGTTTCACCGTGTTGGCCAGGCTGGTCTCAAACTCCTGACCTCAAGGTGATCCACCCGCCTCAACCTCCCAAAGTGCTGAGATTACAGACGTGAGCCACCATGCCCAGCTGTGAGCTCTTTTTCAAGTGTATGAATCAGATATATAGGAACACACCCTGGGAAGCTCAATATCATATATTCTATAATGTACATAATAATAATTATACATGATATACATAATAAACACCAACATCAATATTCAACTTCAATGTGACAAGAGTTAACAGATACAGTATTTTTCTGAAAAGAAGATTACAACTGAAACAGAAATCAGCACCACGTTTTTTGTAAAAATTACATTATGCGTTCTTCATGAAACCATCAGAACTAATAGAGATTGTAAAGGAGTAAAATGACAAGTATATTTAAGTCTGATTGTCTTTGAAAATGTAATAGCCCTTGTGGAATCGCCTATGAATCACCTACAAACCATCGTCCAGAGAGACATGCCTTAAACAATCGGGTTGAATTCACAGAGTTCTTGTTTTGTTTGAAGCCAAAAGATGAGAAATATTGACTTACCTTTCTGTCTTCTATTTCCACGCAGGTATTGCAGTCTGCTTTGATATCCTGAGAAGAGAAGAGAAGACAAAAACAGTGAGGGAAAGGACAGGAGACAGACATATGGTCAGAGAACATTCAGTGGTGTTGTTGAAATGCCCTTTAAAATAATAAAGAGCTCATGCTCCTAACAGTTCTTTCTCGAGACATTGCTCTTTATAGTGCTTTTTAGAGGTATATGCTGTGGTGTTTGCATTAGAGACATATGGATGTCATAAGTAAGTTTTATTACATGCAGATGTGGGGTGTAGGCAAAGGCTATGGATCAGAGGCCATTGCAAAGAGAAACTGATGACTCACAAAATAATCTGCCCCTCCCCATACAATTGTTCACATCAACAGAGATTGCCTTTAATTTAAAATCTCTCCCATTCAAAATTTAGGATAGCCAGATCTCTCTCACTTCAATACAAACTATCACCATCTATTTTTTATCTTTTTAACCACCAACCATCCATCCTTTATCCATCCACCCAGCCAGCCATGCCCATTCATCTAATCATCCATTCATCCCGCATCCTTCCCCATCCATCCACCCATTTACCCACTCAACCACCCATCCATCCTCCCTCTATCCATTCATCCTGCATCCATCCTCTATCTAACCATCATCCGCCTGCCCATCCACCCCATTCTTCTATCTATCCACTCATCCAGCCAGCCATCCACCCAGCCATCCCCAGCCATCAAATCATCTATCGACCCTGCATCCTTCCCCCATCCATCCATCCACCCATCTATCCATCTACCAACCCACCCATTTATCTATTCATCTTCTATCCACTCATCTATATATCCTTCCTTCCTTCCTTTATCTACCTTCCATTCATCCTTCTACCCACCCATCCATCCATCTATTCATCCATCCATTCATTCACCTATCCATCTACCCTTCCACCCATCCACTCATTCATATTTATCACACACCTACTTTTTTCTGCATTTTTTTCTGGTTGTCCTGGTATGAAAAGGTGAAACAAACATAATTCCTACCCTCAGGGAACTCACGAATTAGACGGAATGGAAGACACAGTCACACAAGCCATTGTGGCATTAATTTATTCATACAAAAGAGATTTCTTTAGCATCTGTTGGCTGCTAGAACTTCCTCCAGGCAAGGAATACTCAACAACATACAAGACACATGGCAGGCCCATCCTGGTGATGCTTACATTCTTCTATACAAGATAAGCATTAAATAATACATATCAGTTGACGGTACTCCAAAAAGAATATGTACTATGAAGAAAAATAAGACAAGGAGAAAGAGATGTGAAATGCTGACGGTAGGGGAATAAGATGTTGATTTTTTTTTTAAGTGGCAACTAAGCAAAGGCTTGAAGGGAGTTAGGGGGATGAGCCAAGTAGCTCACTAGGGAAGAACATCCTAGGCAAAGAAAGAACTAGTTCAAAGCCCCAAAGGGGAAATGTGTTGGACACAAGTGAAGCAAGAGGAAGACAGCCACTGTGGCTAGAGGGAAATAAGAGAAAAATAAAAGGGAATAGGATCACAGGAAGATGTTTACTTTTATTTTGAGAGCAGTGAGAAAACAGTTTTTCTCACTGTAATAAAATACACATATCATTAACAATTTTACTACTGTAAGTACACAGTTCTGTAGCATTACCGATTCACATTGTTGGATAACCACCATCATCCTCCATTTCCAGAATTTTTTCATTTTTCCACCTCTACCCATTAAACAAAAACTCCTCACTTTCCCCTCCCAGAGCCCTTGAAAACCACCTTCTGCTTTCTGTCTCCATGGATTTCTCTACTCTAGGCTCCTTATTGTATAAGTCTGGTAGGAATGCCATAAAAAACATTACAGGGTAGGTGTCTTCAACAACTAAAATCATTTTCTCAGAATTCTGAGGGCTGGAATTTCAAGGTCAAGGCTGTTCCTGGTGAGGCCTCTCTTCTCGGTTTGTAGATGCCTCCTTCTCATTGTGCCTCACACATTCTCAGAGAGCAAGAGGGAGACAAACACATGATATGTCTCTTCTTTTCTTTCTTTCTTTTTTTTTTTTTTTCCAAGATGGAGTTTTACTCTTGTTACCCAGGCTGGAGGGCAATGGTGTGATCTCGGCTCACCACAACCTCTGCCTCCCAGGTTCAAGCAATTCTCCTGCCTCATCCTCTCTGCAAGCTGGATTACAGGTGCCCAACACTATACACAGGTAATTTTTAGTATTTTTAGTAGAGATGAGGTTTCACTATGTTGGCCAGGCTGGTCTCAAACTCCTGACCTCAGGTGATCCACCCGCCTCAGCCTCCCTAAGTGCTGGGATTACAGGCGTGAGCCACCGCATGCCAGGCTATCTTTCTTTTCTTAAAAGGCCACCAATCCTATAGGAGTAAGACCCTCCCCTTATGACATCATTTAACCTTAATTACCTCTCTAACGGCTGAATCTCCATACAGAGTCACATTGGGGGTTAGGACTTCAGTATATGAATTTTACAGATAGACATTTGAGGCCATAACACTCGTATAAGTGAAATCATACAAAATTTGTCCTTCTGTGTCTGGTTTATTTCACTTAGCATAATGTCTTCAAGGTTCATCCATGTGGTAGCATGTGTTAGAATTTCATTCTTATTAAGGCTGAATAACATTTCCTTGTATGGACAGACCACATTTTGTTTATCCATTCATAAGCGCCATCTGTGGATGGACATTTGGGCCGTTTCCACCTTTGGGCTATTGTGAATGATCCTGCTATGAACATGGGTGTATAAGTATCTATTCAAGTCCCTGCTTTTAATTCTTTTGCGTGTATGCCCAGAAGTGATTGCCAAACCCTATGGTAATTCAATGTTTAATTTTTTGAGAAACCACCCAACTGTTTTCCATAGCAGCTGCACCATTTTATATTTCCACTAAAAGTGTGCAAGGTTCCAATCTGTCCACATTCTCATCAGCACTCACTTGTGTATTTCACTCAGGCAGTTTGAAAAGAGGACAAGCATGATCTGACTTCTATTTTAACAGAATAGGCAGTGAGGGGTTACAAATGTAAGGAGGGAGACCAGTTTGGAAGCTCCTACCGGAGTCCAGGTGTGCGATGATGGTGTCTGGATGACAGTGTGTCAGGGGAGGGGAAGAGAAGTAGTCAGAGACCAGACGGAATCAATGGGAAGTCTTCACAGACAGGATGTAGCATGGGAGAGAAATATGGCGGTTAGGGGCCATGCCAATGTCTCTAGCCTGGGCGTGCTCTCCATGTAGGCAGGGAGGGTGTGGATGTGCAGGGTGGCATAGAGGGCTGCAGACATTGGGGCTCCGTTTTGGTTAAGTCTATAGAAATGTTTATTTTCTCACCAAGAAGTAGTGGGGTTTTCTCTGTCGATGCATCATTAGGAAAGGTTAATATGAGAAGCCATCACCACAGTGATTTATTAGTAAACACAGCAAATTCTAGGTCCCTTTGAATCCAGAATGGAGTGAAATGAGACCATATCATAAGGTGAAGATTCATACAGCAAGTATTTTATTTTATATAGAACAGACTGTTTTCATATCAGTAAAGTGGGACTAAATAGTGAGCAAAGACTGAATATCTCTTCGGAGCCAGGAACTGTGCTGGGTGTTTTTCTTATTGCCTCTAAATTACCAGCAATCAAACAAGGTGGGTATTCCTTAGTCACTCTGTGGTATGACAGTTGTGATTAGCCATCAAGCAAGTCACCCTGAATCACACAGTGAGGGAGCTTAAGTCTGTGAAAAGAAGTGGTCCCTAACCAGGTGCTTTTCCTTCCCTCCAGGTAACTGTATTTTCCTCAAGGTGGTTTGGTTAGACAATGTAACTTAGGCCACAGGTTTTGCTCTTTTCCATGCTATAGGGAGGAGGGGTTATTCACAGCAAAAACAGCTGGAGAAGCGGAGTAACTGTGCTTCTCAAAGTGAGCTCTCTGACCAGTAGCATTAGCTGCTGTTAAAAATGCATATTCTTACAGCTATTATGGAAAACGGCATGAGGGTTCCTCAAAAACTTAAAACTAAATCTACGCTCTGATCCAGTAATCCCACTGCTGGGTATTTACCCAAAAGAAATGAAACGCATATGTCAAAGAGATCTCTGTACCCACTTCTTCACTGCAGCATCGTGCACGATAGCCAAGACATGGAATCAAACTGAATATCCCACATGTTTATAGCAGCACAATTCACAACCGCAAAAATATAGAACCAGCCCAAATGCCCATCAATCAACAAGTGGATAAAGACAGTGTGGCATATTGGAATACTTTATATATATAGAATACCATAGATAATACTATATAATGGTACATAGTATTATACCATGGAATACAATAGAATACAATACAATGGAATGCTATATATATTATATAGTATTTCATACTATATATAATATTCTATATGGTATTCTATATATATTTTATATATATGGTATTCTGTATATATTATATAGATAGTGGAATACTATATATATATAATAGATATAAAATACCACATAGAATACTATACTGTATAGTGGAATGCTATATAGTGGAATACAATATGTATAATATATATAGAATACTATATATAATACAGTATTCTATATATAGTATTCTATATATATTTAGAATACTATATAGAGAATACTATATAATATATATAGACTACTATAATATATATATAGAATACTATATATAGAATACTGTATTATATTATTCTATATATATTATACATATTGTATAATGTATACAATGTATGTATAAAAATTGTATACATATTGTATAATTATATACTATAATATATATAGAATACTATATATAGAATACTATATTATATATATAGTATAGTATTCTATATATAGTATTATATATATTATATATTATATAGTAGTCTATATATTATATATAGTATTCTCTATATAGTATTCTAAATATATATAGAATACTATATATATTATATTGTATTCTATATATATTATATAGTATTTTAAACTATATATAATATAGTATTATTCTATAAATATATAATATATAAATTATATATA